CCCCCCCCCCCCCCCACATATATACACATATATATATGTTAGTACAATAGAGTGAGTTAATTCTCATAGCTGATGTGCTCTTCAGATTGACATAACCCAATCAGTTCATTCCATATTATTGGATAGCATTATTCTGGCCTACTTCTCATGTTACAATTCCTTTTCGAACGTCAGCTCGTAGTAGGAAAACAATATTCTTGGTTATGCAACCTTGATAAAAGGTTTGACCCTTGACATTGGGTTGCAGAAGCCTTTTTTTCTCCTTTACCTGCCCCTCCCCCTCATATAAAGCAATTCTTAAAGTAGTAGTACTACAGAAAAGAACAACAAAAACCAGGAATAAACAGGAATGGTGGTCTCAGGGCTATAAGGTACCTGCCTTGAGGTGTGCTTATACCCTAGCACCTAGTCTAAACGTACAAGGAAAGACAGAAGACTGGGAGCAGAATCTGAGAACTGGCTTACTAAATGTAATGATGTGAGTTATGTTTTGGGAGCAGTGAAAGCTGAGGAATAGGGAATTCTGGTGACTGAAAGACAATAGTAGCAAGTTACAAAAAGGCTGTGGAAACGGAGATTAATATGTTGTCTATCAAAGGAAAAAGTATTCCATAATCACTTACTGCTGCACATATTGAAGGGAAGTCAAAACTCACCACAAGGGAAAACAGGCTTAGCTCATTTCAAAAGGTGGGTGTAAGGAACTCGTTTAAATTCTCTGCCTAGCAAGAAAGTAAAATCTGTGCAGCCAGTGACCTTATTTTAAGGTGGGATAAAGAACGCTTAAAAAAAGAGCAAATACAAGTCAGTTGTTCTGCTGGCCATGTGGACAGGCTATGCTGCTAACTTAATTTGGAGTACTTAAGGGAAAGGAAAAATGGACTCTAAGGTACTGTAAGAGAAAGGAATAATAGATAATAGTAAAACCTAAGTAGGTAACCTCTGATTTAGTTGATGCGCAATTCAACTACAGTTGTCTAACATGGCAAGCAACAATTGCTGTTTAAACACTTCTGCTGCATAAAGACCATCACATCAAATACTTCATTTAAAGCCTTCCATATTTTTGCTTCTCTGGCATCTTGTTGATCTAAAGGCTGAAAGCAGCCCTACTCCCCCCCTGACCCCCCCCCAAAAAAAAAAAAGGTGGGGAGAGGGAGGAAAAGGCTCATTGCTGTAGATTCTCCATTTTATTTAGCCTACATCTGTTCATAAAACTGTTCACTGCTTTGACAGTGTGCTCTCCTTGATCAGCTCTTTTGTTTTCTAGAATGGCCTGTATCATAGAGTTTTACACACACTGTCAAATAGTTTGATGCCTTCAGTTGTGCACAGATTACTTTTCTCCTATTCTCTGCTTTTATTTTGGAAGTGTGAGCTTAAAAAGCTCACACTTTAAAGTTAAAAGTTAAAAAGCTTCATGAAAGAAGTGATTTAGTTGGATGCCGTTAATTGAAACATCCACGGTTTTGCAATAGCTCCTTGTGCATCATGAAAAGGCTAAGATTTCTCTGTTGTGTATTTTTGATTTATGATTGTTTTAATAATTTGCTTGAAAGTGTTAATATATTCATGTTTGTATATGTGAGCTGTAGTGGATTCTTGCAGTCAGTGTTTATCAAGACTTCATGAGCACAGATAAAGAAATACAAAATATAAAGACTTGCTAAAAGTCTAGCTATTAATGAATGTGAAATTTAATTTGGCCTAGGTGAATAAATTATGGATATGCTGATGAATGGTACCTAAGTTAACGATACCAGAAAGTTATAACGGTTTTTAATAATAAGTGGAAAAGAAATAAAGGATAGTAATTTGCAAAATTTCATGTCCGACAACAAGGAAACAGTAAGACTTTAGATTTTTATCTCTAATTGTATATGACTAAAATAAAACTTAGCTGTTTCAAATTATAAGTATCTCTATGGTCTGCTTCAGAGCTACAGAAGGAGCTAAGTCCACAGAGATGGTTGCTCTGTCTTTTAATAGCAAAGTAAGTTTCAGGAGATCTGAGAGAACTTACATTTCCATAGGAAACATGGTACTAGATAGAATGTTGTATTCCTTTTTTTTTTTTTTTTTTTTTTTTTTTTAATATTTCCAACCTCAGGCTCCATTGTTCCTCAAGAGAAAAAAGGAGTTCTATAAGGAAATAGGGCTTATGTGGTCCTGTTATGTGTAAGTACGTCTGTGTTAGGTAAGCTTTCCTTCCCTCTCCCAACAACAGCCCTGGGTATGTGAGCCAACTTCAGTCAAATCTAAGGCAGGCGTGGAAGCTGAAGGACACTGTATCTAAGGGCCATGTGAAATAGGCAGCTGGTGGAAGAGGGAGACTATGGAAGTTCTCTCCGAGCAAAAGGCTTTTTTACCTGGTGGAGAATATGGGAAGGGAGAGTTAAACTTCTTAAACGCCTTTATGATAGGAAAAACTTCAACTGTTGAGATTGCACCCTTTTGAGCACTTAAGTCAGTAACTCACCATCTGCGGTTCTGTAGGTAGGCTGCTGTAGGCTTTGTTAGTTATGTTGCATTACTTCTTTTTACTTCTGCTGTCTGTGCAGAAGCCAGCTGTGCTACGCAAAAGCAAGCTGGTTTCTCTAGGCTTCATCATTTACTGGTATCTAATTGGTTACTCCCATGCCAGCCTCTTTTGTACTGTGCACATAGCGTGTGGAACTCCTCCCATATTTTGCTGTCATGTCATGATAAATAATATACCTCTGATGACCTCTCGCAGTGTTTCTTGTTACTGAAGGGACTGAGGAAAGGCCAGTTTTCCAAGTGCATAAATTCATTAGCTAAAGACAATGGTCTTGGACAGCTCTTTGTTTGACAGCAGAAAGATTTTTTTTTTTTCACACCAGACTCTGAATTTACCCTCCAAGAAGGACCTGTCAGGTCTTTTCAATGTCTTGTCTATCTTTAGCTGTTTCTTAAGATCTCTGATCCTATCAGATATAAAATAAGCTAGTGTAAGCTCTCTTCAGTACTGTTCACAGTATAAGGTCTTTACCCTGGGCATACATAAATGTATCTGTAAAGATATACATGCACTTGCATAGGTTAATCTGTTTAGGGATGCAAAAGGATGAGTCTCTGAAAAAGTATGTATGCCCTTATTGGACTGTACTGTGATATATTCAGCAGTGTAAAGAAGGAAACTGAAAAGCTTGTATTTTTTTCCTCAGTTGTATTGGCTGTAGATGAGTAGATGCTATACTGAGATCATGTTATGAGGGCTACATGATTTTATAAATATATCAGTAGATTCCATAGGGTGCTTAGCGGAGAATTTTGTCATTTTTTTCTCTTTTGAAAGCAGATGCGTCTAGGTTCTTCAAAGGCTAGGTTGTTAAACACTTTCAGCTTTGATACCAAGTCAGCAGTGACATCCTCATATTAGCTGTTTATATAAACGTGTTCTGTAGAAGGCTGGTTATGTGGACTTTTCAGTGCTAATAGTAATAGTAATTACTCTTAATTTGGGATGTGAGTTATAAGAGGGGACTGTTTACCTTTTGCCTTTTTTATTGAGGAAAAATTATATAGTGTCTACAACTTCTGCTTTCATTTCAGAAGTTGGTGAAATGAAAGGCAGGCATAGCAAGAGCAGGTGCAATGAAGTTCCTGAGCAGAGCTCATTCCTGACCTGTACTGTGACCTTCTCATCTCATAGCTACTGTATTCTGTTTGTCCCTTCTCCTCTGGAGACTGCCAATTATACCGAATTGTGCCAAGGAATAGGATAATGCTCTGATGTAGAGACGTTGTTGGTGACAGTTGCGAACAGGACAGACCCATTTTGCTTATGACAAAATCCAAGCTCGAATGTGGATCACCAGAGATGTGACACCCTTATTCTTGCATTGGACTGCAGGTTGCAAATAGTGATTCCTACTTTCCTTATTCTGAAGGATTTTTAACACACCTTCCTTCCAGAGTGGTGTATGTGATTTTTTTGACCAGGCAGAATTGGAATTCTTTGAAATTACACTCTCTTTTCATAATATGGAATAAGCAAAACTTTTCATGCACAGCTTCCTCCAAAGAGTTGTTATCTTAATGTTAACA